CAAGAGCGAAGACATAAAATGCAGACACTCCCGCAGGAGTCTCCAGCTTATTAAATTGAATAGCTCAATCTCTATGGAAAATTCAATGTTGAATTTTCCATTTATTTTTACACTTCCAAAGTAATATGATCCAATGGGAGCCATAGTGTAATGGGGTTGGTAGCACAGCCTGCCAGCTGTTGGCCATTACAAATGCTTTCATGATGAAACCTGAGGACGATGTCTAAAGCCGATTAAAACTCAGGTCTTTACATTTTGGGTGGCGCACACAAATAAACACACTGTGTTATAGAAAAAAACATAATCAAGCCATATTCATTTTGCACAGGCATAGAAAAACACAATACAATTATAGAAAATAACTTGTTTGAAAAAATCAATCATGTAAAACTAAGCATATCCCCAACCCGGTATCACGGCAAGATGTGAACATGTGACGATTTACCATGCTGGGAGACGTGAAGATGTCACGATTTCGTCCCTTCAAACGTGACAGTTATACGGTATTGTTAACCAGTGGAGAAATAACCGGAAATGCCAAGCAAATGCTACCCCGACGAAAGGATTTATTTTTTAATAGTCACACTCGATTACGCCGATTTTCTTGTTGCCCCAGCTGGTCGACACCTCTTTTAGCAGAAACAAAGGCTACATTAATGTATTCAATCGATGTGTGTGGATGTGGAACCGGAAACAGAGGTAGGCAAGATCCTCAGCTCGATGATTGGATGGTTTAGCCACAATGCATGCTGGGATTTGGTGTTTATCTGAAAACGTTTCTTTTAAAATAAAATAATACTTTATTCCGAGTGTGCTTGCTTTTCTCTTTGAAAGTCATCACATAACGGCATTGTAATACACGGTTCGGCTGCATTAAATATTACATATCTGCCGTTCTCTATTTATAGAGCCCTGATGAGAAGACTTCTAGACAAACAGGAGAACTGCCGCCAAAACTGAATACGTGACGTGGATCATAAATATATAAGCAATTAAACAACATCTTACATTTCTTTTCACACAATACGTCTCCTTGCAGTATCAACACTAATTCGGCTGACTTTTATATTTGATCCAATTGGTAGATAGGCTGTATTTACACCATAACGGTGCACAGCTGATAGAAAGGGACACCTGGTGGTTAAAGCACGTTATTGAATTGTATTATTTTATTATTTATTACTGTTTCCGGTTCCACATCCACACACATCGATTTAATACATTAATTTAGCCTTTGCTTCTGCTAAAAGAGGTGTCGACCAGCTGGGGCAACAAGAAAATCGGCGTAATCGAGTGTGACTATTACAAAATCAATCCTTTCGTCGGGGTAGCATTTGCTTGGCATTTCCGGTTATTTCTCCACTGGTTAACATGGGTTAACAATACCGTGTAACTGTCACGTTTGAAGGGACGAAATTGTGACATCTTCACGTCTCCCAGCATGGTAAATCGTCACATGTTCAGTGATACCGGGTTGCATATCCCACAAAGGCTAAACGCTTGTTGATTAAATACAGTAAATAATACACTGTACAATGGGAATCAATCGCCCTTTAAAAAAACGATTCAAGTATGCTGTTATTCTACTGCAAATGTATAAATCACCAAAGGCTATTAAAGGTGGGGTAGGTAAGTTTGAGAAACCAGCTCGAGATACACTTTTTGTTATATTCCATGGAATGCTCTTAACATCCCGATAGCAGGAGTACTGTAAAAAGCACGACCAATCATTTTAGCCGGTGTCAGTACCATGGGTCCTTCTCACTTCGGTTAAATGGATTCCTTGCGTCCCTCACTTGCGTCGTTTCCCTGTGACTAGTCCCTCCCACCAGGGAAGCATGGAGGGACGCAAGGAAACCACGAGAAGCAGGGAAATGAGTTTTAAGAGCAATGGGACGTCCTTTCCTCCGGGGCGTCACGTGAAGCGAAGTCCGTTTGTGATGACGCTGCACAGCTGATCGTCTGACAGCAGCCAGCTCTGTCCCCGTTGTTTTCACAAACACCCCCGCCTCTGTTAGTACACATTTACTGTCACAAACATTTGTATCATCTGTTGTAGACCCAAATAAATAAAATCAAAAAAGATAAACGCCATTCTTAAAATGTATAAACGAACTATGTTGGATTAATATTGATTAGAGTGCACAATAGAAATAAAATAATTGAGAGAAGAAAAAGAGATTATCTCTCAAAACCCAGTTAGATTAACATTCATTGGATTGCAAACTTTGTTTGTTTGGATATGTAGCAAATTAATTCATTTTAAATAGCACTTAATGACTGACTGAATGGAAATGACAATAATGAAAATGTAAAACGAAAAAAGCGATCATGAAAATGTTTCTAATAAATGAAGAAAATGATTTTTGACCACTTTGTTGTTCAGATATATCACATATTTGTAACTAAATGATACATTAATTGAAACAAAACACGGTATAAACTGAGGAGTGACTCCCGTGAGTTTCATGTATTTTCTTCACTCCGCTGGGAAACTGCTCTCATGTCAAGAAGCATCAGATCAGTGCATCGTCCAATCAGTGAGCGATACACAGTAAGGGGGCGGGGCGAGTGTCTGAGGATTTCATCGAAGGATGGTCTGGTGGTTCCTCGATTATAGCTCCTCCATTATCGTTCCTCGGTCCTCCGGCAAAAATAAGATGGCGCAGACAAATCAACTTCCGGTGAGACCGAGGAGTGAGGAAATGAAAAATAAGAGAAGTGAGAAAGGGCCTGAGTCAAAGCAGGACTTGTGCAACCTGGCAAAGTTCAAGAAGTCAGAAGATTGCTCTTTGTAATCTTATCCAGTTATATACAGTTGCAAGAAAAAGTATGTGAACCCTTTGGAATTACCTGGATTTCTGCATAAGTTGGTCATAAAATGGGTTCTGATCTTCATCTAAGTCACAACAATAGACAAACACAGTCTGCTTAAACTAATACCACACAAACAATTATATGTTGTCATGTTTTTATTGAACACACCATGTAAACATTCACAGTGCAGGGTGGAAAAAGTATGTGAACCCCTAGGTTAAAGACTTATTCAAGAGCTAATTGGAGTCAGGAGTCAGCCAACCTGGAGTCCAATCAATGAGACGAGATTGGAGGTGTTGGTTAAAGCTGCCCTGCTCTAGAAAAAATACACACCAGTTTTGAATTTGCTATTCTTAAGAAGCATTGCCAGATGTGAACCATGCCTCGCATAAAAGAGCTCTCAGAAGACCTACGATTAAGAATTGTTGACTTGCATAAAGCTGGAAAGGGTTACAAAAGTATCTCTAAAAGCCTTGATGTTCATCAGTCCACGGTAAGACAAATTGTCTATAAATGGAGAAAGTTCAGCACTGTTGCTACTCTCCCTAGGAGTGGCCGTCCTGTAAAGATGACTGCAAGAGCACAGCGCAGAATGCTCAATGAGGTGAAGAAGAATCCTAGAGTGTCAGCTAGAGACTTAAAGAAATCTCTGGCACATGCTAACATCTCTGTTGACGAATCTACGATACGTAAAACACTGAACAAGAATGTAGTTCATGGGAGGACACCACGGAGGAAGCCACTGCTGTCCAGAAAAAACATTGCTGCACGTTTGAAGTTTGCAAAAGAGCACCTGGATGTTCCACAGCACTACTGGCAAAAATATTCTGTGGACAGATGAAACCAAAGTTGAGTTGTTTGGAAGGAACACACAACGCTATGTGTGGAGAATCCAAAGGGTTCACATACTTTTTCTTGCAACTATATATGCAGTTCACCTGTAAATACATATTTAAAAAGGATTTGGCTTTGTCAATATAAATTATTTCCCTTATATCTTTTACTATCTTATACAGAGGTTCGAAAGGGTAAAATTGCCAATTTAGAAATACAAAACGATGTAGGTTAGAGATGAGTTAAATAAGCTCATATTTGAATTCCCCATTAAAAAAACCACATAATTTAGACACCCCCATGTTAGGATTTCCTTCAGATTCATGTTAGCACCTGAGTATGACCTTCCCTATTGGTGTATGATCAAATTTGATTTCTAATTTTAAATAAAAGGAAATAAATTCACAGTTATTGTCAAACAGGAGTTAAATCAATTTCTCGCTTATTGTAAGAATGTATTTCACCATATTCATATTTAAATGATCAGGAAATTACATTGTAATGATAATAATAAATCACCTCCCTCATTCAGATTAATGTCGATTGTTATTTTTTATGTTTGAATGTTAAAAAAGAACAATCGACAGTGTTGTAGAGCCGATAAATGGGAGTCGTAGGCGGCGTGTTTAGTATGGAACAACACACTTTATTTCCATCACATTACAGCAAAGCAGGATGATCTTGGATACACGCTACACAAGCTAGAATGACAACACAACACAGGTGCACTCACTAACTCGTCCGTGGTGCAACACACACTATATAACCCAGTGAATTGTGTCCCGTAAATGTCACCAGTGTAAACATAATTATGTAAATAACCCAATTTGTGTTCTGTGAAACGGAAAAGGATATTACATTGTTTGTGTTACTTTCGTTGCAGTGTCTTAAAGGTGGGGTAGGTAAGTTTCAGAAACCGTCTCGAGTGCACTAACATTTGAAAGTACACAGCCGAAAATAATACGCCCCTTCCTTCAGACTTCCTTACAGAGCACCTCCTCCAACACACATGAACGCGCACATGACGTCAGCAGACTGGTGAAAGTGGCCCTGTTGCTGGCGAGTCATTGAAGTACTGCTGCAATGAGGGCACGAGATACATTTGTGCATGCACAAGATGGAAGGTTGACAGACAGGGCGGCAATCCAATCCGTTTAGCCGGGCCGGCTAAACGGATTGGTTGTACTTTTTACAGTATTACGGCTTCCACAGATGACATTTTTTTATGGATTTTTTGTCAAAGCACTTAAGATATTCATTGCTATCGGGATGTTAAGAGCATTCCATGGAATATAACAAAAAGTGTATCTCGAGCCGGTTTCTGAAACTTACCTACCCCACCTTTAAATGTAATTTAGGTTAACTTCCTGTTTTATTTAGAATTATTATTATTACCTCTTGGGTTGCCGTACAGCCAATGCGTGACGTCATTGGTAAGCGTAACGGACTCCGAGCAGATCTGGTAGGCCGAGCACATATGGTACTGACACCAGCCCGGCTAAAATAACTGGATGGCCTACCTGCCTGTCAGCCTTCCATCTGTGCACAAACGTATCTCGTGCCCTCATTGGTCATGTGCGCGTTCGTGTGTGTTGGAGGAGGGGCTCTGTAAGGAAGTGGCAGATTTTTTCCGGCTATGTATTTTCAAATTCTAGCGCACTCGAGCTGGTTTCTCCAAAATGACCTACCCCACCTTTAAGCATTTGTTTCTAAGTTTGCGGATCTATGACTATGACCCCAAGGTTGTTGTTAAAGATAACTTTGCCGTTGGACTCCTTGCTGCAGTCTGGGTGCTGCAGTAACTCCAGGACACCGGCTTTGAGCTCAGGAGAGGCTGTGTTACTGAAGTCCAGCACTTCAGTGAGGAAATCAAGCAGCAGCTCTCCCTTCTCATCCCCTTCTGTGAAACACTCGGTGATTTCCATTTGAGAAGGCAGCTCGTAGCTCTGGTAGCTCACACCCTTGGAGTCCAGAAAGCTTTTCATGTCTCCAGTGGTGACACACTGACTTATTTCTGTGTTACAGTGCTGGCTCCTGTAGGTCTGCCACCGCTTTCCCCAACCACTCTCACCTAGAAAAGATTATATGAAAGTAGAAATAAGAGTCTACAGCCGAGCTAGCAGCTCTCGAGGCTTTACTCTGGCCTACCAGTGCTTAGAGCTACATGCTAACCTCAGCATGCTAACATGCTCACACTTTTTTAGGTCTTTTTTACTCGAATATAGGCAAGGCGAGTAAACGTTTTCATATGTTTGCACGATTAACAAACAAAATGTGTATGTGCTCTTGTCCAATTTTTTTTCTTGACAGTTACTATTTTTACCTTGTTCAACATCTGAGCATGCTAGCATTCTAAATGTGTGGTGCCCTTGAGCAAGGCACTGGACAACCTCCCACCCCCCCACTCCCATTGCTCAACGGGCGCTGTACAATAGCTGCCCACTGCTCCTACTAGGATGGGTTAAATACAGAGGTCAAATTTCACTGTGTATGCTGTATGCATGTGTGACCATTAAAGAGGGTTATATCTCTCACAGGCTCCGCCCTCTACTGGACTCTATGGGTACTACCCAAGCGGCAAACTCTGGGGAACAGCCGGGACGCCAATACGGACGTGCCACACACTGCAGTTCATACATGGGCCGCTAGGGACTGGCTGCAGAAAGGAGCAATTTCCATAGACCCCCATGTTAAAATGGCCAACTTTACAGCAGAAAAAAACATGTTTCTACCCATGGATGCAATAAATATTATTATCGATATAGTTAGATTCCACCTTCATGATTATGAATCTGTGAGTGAATTGTTTTCTAACACGACCCTTTTATTTATATTAGGTCTTAAAGTTTTTGCATAAATTAGGGCGTGGTCACTTTGATGGACATGTATATGCCTCACTGTCAGCTAACAGCAACTTGTCCACTCTGCTAGGCTACAACCATAGAGGCTACAACGTTAGTTAGTCATAGTACTGTACTTGACCCTTTAGCTTTAGCTGTGTTCGTGGTGATTGTGTCTTTTCGGGAATATTGTTACAAATACCAGACAATTAAAATGTCGTGCTGTGCGCTTGAATGTACTAACAGAACTTCCAAGAAGTCTAAAATGATAATACATGTTAACCCCGTTCGTAGGTGTTTGTGTGCTTGGTAGCTTAGCTTGTTACAAGTAACAAGCTAAAGGGTTACGTCCTTAGCTGGCTAATACGTTTATTAGCCAGCATTAAACAGCATTATGGTGGAACGCGCGGCGGTGCGCTCAGGGACCACAGTAAATAATCGGCCCTTTCTTTGTCGACCCTCCATGGGAAAATCTTCCCTTCACGGGGAGTTTTGCGGCGGAACGGGTCACCAGAGACAGCTTCATAGCTGCGGCCCCACAGCTGAGGGCTTTCCATTAACACAATGTTATGGGGAATGGAAACTCAGCTGTGTACTAACAAAGTGGATGCCCAGGAGGAGATTGGTTTCCTCTCAGCCGAGATTCAGGTAGCAGAAACAGGCTGTGTCTGTTGTGCACCCTTAGCACAGAGAAAATGGTCTTTATTCCATGTACTTCCTGGTTCTCAGGAAGACAGGGGAATTCAGATCTATTCTAGATCTAAGCAGCCCGAATCGCTACATTGCCTGCAGAAAATTCTGCATGTTAACTATAAAAACAGTTAATGGGGCAAACTGTGCGATTGGTTGACCACCATCGACCTGAAAGACGCATACTTTCATGTGGAAATTGCTCCAGAGCACAGAAAGTGTCTGTGTTTTGCCTTCCAGGGGATAGCCTATGAGTACAACAGATTACCGTTCGGCTACTCCCTATCCCCACGCACGTTCAGTAAATGTGTGGCCACTGCGCGCCCACGTCATGAGAGTTTTTCTTTTACCCAGACGACCTCATAGTCATGGCCGGGTCCAGGGAACAGGCAATGCTTTGCACAGCACAATTGATCACACACCTAACCAAATTAGGCTTTGCGATCAATTGAAAAAAGAGCACCCCCATACCTCACCAACAGGCGTTGTAGTTGGGAGTGGTGCTCCATGCAGGCGCGCTACGTGCCACCCTGTCAGGGAGCAGAATTGCGTCCCTTCTCCGGGCGGTTCACAGGCTGTGACAGGGGGCGACAGTGACAGCTTTAACTGTCATGCAGACTTTGAGTTTCATGACGGCTGCTCACATTGTGGTCCGCAGGGGTTACTGCATATGCGCCGCCTGCAGAGGTGGTTCTCCAGCCTGCGTTTGGATCCCAAGAGGCACAAACGGCAGCTGGTGACCATCCCCCCCTCAGTGGAGGGCAACCTCCGGTTCTGGGGGTCTCCCGGGCGCCTCCGGAGGGGGTCTCCACTGGGACGGATGACCTCCTACATCACAGTGTTCACGGGAACAGGATGGGGAGGGACCTGCCTGAAGAGGGCTATAGGTGGGCGCTGGTCTCTAACAGAAACACGACACAGCAACCTCCTAGAGCTACGGGCGGTAGTGTTAGTCCTCCAGCATTTCATGCCCCTAATTCAAGGGAGACATGTATTGGTCAGGAGCGAGAACAGCACCACAGTGGCTTATATCAAGAGGCAAGGCGGAGTCCGCTCCGCCACCTTGTTGGCCACAGCAGAGAGGCTGTGGTTATGGGCTTCAGAGTTGGTTTTATCTCTGAGAGCCCTCCATATCCCGGGACTGGAGAACAGGGGGGCCGACCTCATGTTGAGGGGCGGCCCCCTGCCAGGCGAATGGACGCTTCACCCAGAGGTGGTGAAGCAGATCTGGGCCCAGTTCGGGAGAACGGAAGTGGATCTGTTCGCCAGCCGGCGCAACAGCCACTGTGCCCTGTGGTTCTCCATGGCCCTGAGCAACGACCCGCCTTTAGGGGTGGACGCGTTTGCACACGAGCCATGGCCAAGGAAGCTGCTATACGCCTTTCCACCGCTGCGTCTCATTCTCCCTCTCTGGGGAGAGTGAGGCGAGAACGTCTGGCAGTCATTCTGGTAGTGCCGGATCGCGTTGGGGCTCCGTGGTACTCAGAGATGACACAGATGAAGGTGGGCCAGCCCTGGGCAATTCCCCAGTTCTGGGGGGCGATGTCTCAAGAGGCAGGTGCAATCGGGGCGTTACCCACTCTCGGCCAACCTCTCCAGGCTCCTGAGACGGACAGGCTGAGACAGGGTGGATTGTCTGACAGCGTTATTCAGTCTATCCAGGCAGCTAGAGCTGGATCCACCACAGCCTGTTACAGGCCGAAGTGGCTGGGATTCCAGCGATGGTGTGAGGAGCGGAAAATAGAGGTATTCAACTAAAATTCAACGAGGTCCAGTTAGAGAAAATGTCCCCATGCAAAGGTCCGGAAATTCAAAATGTCTAACTTTATGAATTACTGTGATATATATTGAAGTAGCCTGCAGCTTTATCAAGGTCTGCATGTAATCAACAACTGACTGCCAATCAAATAAAGAAAGTACAATTCAAAAACAACAATATTTATTGTCTATTAACATTGAACTATACAGATATACAGTAAATACTGTGGATATGTGTAATGTTCCTCTCGGGCTGCATTTACAAATAAAATAGAGAAAATAAATAAAATAGCTTTTGAAAATATGTGCATCTTTAAAGTGCTTAATTTTAGATAAATAAAATAAAGTGTAGCAGCAGCTTGAGTTTCCCTTTTTCTTTGTTAACCGTTTCACATCATGACTTAACTGTTTCAGACGATTATAGAACAATATCAGTATTTACATCATAACAATTGAACAGTTTTAAAGTTTCTCTTTCTTTCCCTCATATATTGCAGTCCCTCACTCACTTTTTTTTATTCAGTGCGAGAATTGAGCTCGAGCTTGTCCTGCCAGGAGTTTGTAAATCTGGGCTGAAATGGTGTCAGGGCCATTCTCATACACATGCAGGTGCTCATTGGTTACAGTGATGCAAACACAGGTATGGTGAAAAAAGAGAACTATTCGAAGCAGAAAAAAACAGCGTAATATACCATCTGACAAAGGCCTGTGCTATAATGCTTCAATTAACTGCTATTCTTTATAATATACTCAGATCAATAAGAGACAGAGATGTTGAGTTATAAATCAAGGGTTTTTATTATTATTTACAGCAGGGGTGGGGAACCTTTTTCCTTTCAATTTTTACAACATCCTCCGAGGGCCATACAAATGATTGAACTCAACCTCTGCTTAAAAAAACTAAAATCACAGCCCATTCATTTGGCCTTTCTTTCATGCTGTGCAAAGAAAAAGCAACCTCTTAATCCAGATATCTCACCATGACTCATGCATGCACGTGCACGGTGTGGCATGACCACCAAAACAGAAAGATATGGACACAAGATGTGTGCAAATGTATTTAGTTTCCTATCCTGGACCATGTGAACATGATTTAAGTGGGGGGGGGGGACCTAACCTCCTCTAGGGGGGTCCGGGGGGCATGCTCCGGGAATATTAAATATTGAAGTTAAAAGCATCAATCTGGTGCACTTTGAGAGCAACATGAAGAGATCTATGGATACATCTCTCAACATCCATATGAAACAGAACTGTAAGCAGATTTTTCTTTTTGGATATTTTACAAATCACTCCCCTTTTAAACTCTATTCTTGTTGTTTTTAACAACTTTTTTGTTACTGTCATATAGTATTTTATACCTGTTTTTCATTTAGTCTCATTAATAACTATAATGATCATATCAAGGTGTGCCTTAACCTCACTGAGCTGAGGTTATTTGAGCCTCTCAGGAGAGAGCTCTCTGCCACCTGGTTGTAGAAAAGCTCTTTAAATTCGTTAGCATAGCTAGCTAACCAGATGCTAATAACAACAGATCGCCACTGTGCTTACAACTAAAGACACAGCCACGCAAACACTGCGGTATGTGTACGGCTCCTTATGGGTACTGCAATATTTGAAGGGCTGGAGCGGCGTTTCGGTGCTCTCTGTCAGCACTCCTTTCAGACGAGACATACCACGTGAAGACACGTTACGCTCGTGTTGTGTTCAAGGAACCTGTCCTTGGCCAGGAAAATCAGGTACTCGCTTGTTTAATTATTTTTGCGGTCTAGATTTCTTCTTATTT